TCGCGCGCGGCATGTCGTGGTCGCCACCAACGGCTATACCTCCGGCGTCACGCCGCGCCTGCAGAAGCGGCTCGTGCCGATCGCCAGCCACATCATCGCGACCGAAGAGTTGCCTGCGGATCTGATCCGCGAAATCTGCCCAAAGGGACGCACGTTTTCCGAGACGCGGCGCGTGCTGCACTATTACCGGATCTCACCCGACGGAAAGCGCGTGATCTTCGGCGGCCGCGCCCGCTTTACCGAGATCGCCGCCGAACTCCGCGCGCAACTCCTGCACCAGGCGCTCGTCGAGCGACTGCCGCAGCTCGCCGACACCAAGGTCACGCACACCTGGCAGGGCAACGTCGCCTTCACCTACGACGCCCTGCCGCATGCCGGAGAGCTCGACGGGCTGCACTTCGTCCTGGGGTGCAACGGCTCGGGCGTCTCGATGATGCCGTTCCTCGGCAACGCCATGGGCCAGTCGATCGCCGGTCGCCTGCATGGCAAGGTACCCTTTGCCGAAACCGAGTTGCCCTCCATCCCGCTCTATTCCGGCAAGCCCTGGTTCCTGCCGGTGATCGGCGGCGCCTTCCGGACCCTCGATTACATAGACGAGAAAATCAGATGAGCGCTGCTTTCTTCTCCGCCACCTACGGCGAGGCCCGCCAGCGTTTCCTGGAAGCCGCGGCCACGGCCGGCGCCACCGTCCGGCATCACGTCCATCCGCTGAAGGGCGCGGCGGGAGAAGAAATCGGCACCGACACCGCGCTGCTGGGACCCGCCGACGCGGCGAAGCTTTTCATCGTCAGCTCCGGCACGCACGGTCCGGAAGGTTTCTCGGGTTCGGCCTGCCAACTCGCCCTGCTGAACGACGAACTGGCCAAGCGCGCCGCCGATCGCGGCATCGCGCTCCTCTTGATCCATGCGGTCAACCCGTTCGGCTTCTCGCACCTGAAGCGGACCAACGAGGACAACATCGACCTCAACCGCAACTTCAACGACTTCGCCGCGCCCTATCCCGGCAATCCGGTCTACGAACAGATCCACGACCTGCTGGTGCCGGCGGCCTGGCCGCCCTCCGCCGAAAACGAGGAGCGCCTGAACGCCGCGATGGCGCGGCTCGCCGGACAGCGCAAT